GAGACTTTAGCTCTCAATGAAATACAATCTATTGACTTCTTTAATTTCTTCTCATTTTTCTCTAATTTATAATATGTTATCAGTAGTAAGTTTTAGTCAGTTGAGTTAGAAACAAAAATATTTCTCTTGCTGTTTATGAATATCTAGCTAGTTGATGTAGAAATTTGTTTTCCTTCAATCAAGGAAAGACAAGAAGCTATAGTCAATTGAGTCTACAAAGAAACTCTTCTTTTCTACTCAAAGAAAATGAAGTAGTTTCTTAACTTCAAATTGCATAACAATGAGGTATAGCTTATTTGATCAGGTTATATCGACTTGACTATAGCAATTTATGATAGAGATAAATATTTACTTGAATGTTTTTTTTTGGTTAAATATATCAGTATAATATTTCATACTATTATTGAAATGAAACAATCTAAATCAATAGTCGAGAAGAATATTATAGCATTGCTTGAAAATGAATATAATATTTGAATTATTTTGTTGTTCCTGATAGATACAAATTCATACATAACAGTATTTGAACATAATACTGTATTATTACTTTTGAAAAGGTATAATATTTGTGCATATCATATTCTAGACGAATTTCATGTCGATGATCTTGGCGGAAACATAATATTACAATTTCAACAACCCAAAAGAACATTAATCAATTGCAATCGAAGAAGTAATAATAACATCATTTTTAAACAAAAAAAATGATAATAATAATATTTTTTTCGTTTTCTAGAAATGGCATAAATCTTGAAGAAAATAATACGATTTGAGATATAACAAAAGTTTATATTATGTTAATATTCCAGTAAATATTATTTACTCCCAAATAGCAGAATTTACAAGATTTGTTATTTAATAATAATATTATGCTATTACTTCTAAAGAGTAAATTTTTTATGATTAATAATAATATATTGGTGTTCATGAAAAACACAAATTAAACAACTCGATCTTTAGTTGTAATTTTTGAAGAAAAACAACTTTTATTTTGTTAATATTCCAGAAAAATATTAATTATTACTAGTACTCCTAAAGAGCATAACATTTTAAAATATTGTATTATTGCTCTTGAACAAATATAAACATTGATATATTAAATTGATTTAAAATAGATCATCAAGTATTTTACATAACAGATAGATAGTAAATTTGAAACTTCTATTGTAGAAAATTCACAGAATGTGGATAGGTTGCAGCATATATGATCCGATGTTGATATATCAGTAATGCGTGGTTCGATTATCAAGAAATTTCAACAGTAGATTCATGACTTATTGTTCTTCAAATTCAATTATTAAGATCAAGATCATACACTTCATGCTATGCGGACAGTAACAAGATTTTTGAATTGATTAGAAGATCGTGACTATTTTTAGAACAAAATATTTTCAAGTCATTTTTTTAGGAGTTTGAGAATGCTCAAAGTTATCTACATCTATTTTAATAATTAAATATTATATCGTTACTTTTGAAGAAAAATGACTTTATATCGATTTAATATTCCAAAAGACTTATTGCATTGTTACTCATGTAGAACAAAAATTACCATTGCTTGAAAGGTGAAACAATTTTGTAATATTAATATTTTAGAAGAATCTTGTATTTTTTAACTCGAAAGGGAGAACGAATTATTAATTTTTAATATTCAAGAAGAATATTGTATTCATACTATTGAAAAGTATATATCTCGTTATATTTCTAAAGAAGCACAAGTTAATATGAAGAAATTTGTATTGACATTCCTGAAGAAACACAACTGAAACACAATTGAACTACATAAATATTTAAGAATAATATTATTTTGATTTTCTGGAAGAATTTTTTTATACCAATCAATATTCTAAAAGAATATTGTATTAGTTTTCGAAGATTAATTTTATATAAATCTGAGTCTGATAATATGTTAATACTCCTGAAAAAGCATAACTTATATACAAACAATCCCTTGTTCTCAAAGAATATTTTTTTTATTTCAAAGAATGGCTTATACATATTAATATTCTAAAAGAATAATTTGTCGTTGATAAACAATAAAATTGGTTTTACCACATACTATTATGCTGACTAAGGTCAAACAAGGATAAATGAATATATTATATGAAACAACTAATATTGCACAAGTCAAATGAAACTACATCAAAGGGGACAAGAAAAAGCAAATTTATTTAAAATTTTTGTATATACATTAGCTTCAAGACATCGATATTTAATAAATTTTCTAAAGTGACAATGTGACTGACTTATTAACTACATTCAAAAAATTGATACATGAGATAAAGATTACAGTGATCAATATCATGAGAGTAGTTGAACTATTTTTCTTTTGATTAGATTTTGTCAATTCAAACTTTCTCAACAAGGTTTAATGAGACGACTTATTTTTAATACAATAAAAAAAGTTGTACCCCCCCCCCCCTTTTTATTTCTTTGTTCCACCGAATTTTTTCATCAAACAAGGTTTTTAACGAGGAAAATAATATGTAATTAGTCATTTGAGAGGTGTTGTAAATTAGATTTTAATTATTATATGATTATTGTATCTGTGTCGCTATAATTGATATAACTATTGTACCCCTAAATTCCTAGTTTTTACCTATTAATGTAAAATTTTGATTTTTAATAAAATACATACAATTCTACTAGTAAATATTATTCATAGAAAGAAAGTAATTTTAAAGATTGCATTTTACAATATAAGTAATTTAAAGGTAAATTTATTTTTACTTTTAAGTGTAGCTAGTCGTGTTTGCCTATGGCGAATTTAATCGTTGTTCGAAAACACATTAATTTCATTGACATATGAACTTGGATCATTTAATTTTAATCCGGAGAATCAACTAAGCAGCATAGTTCTGGTGGGTTAGTGTAGAAAAGGAAACAAATGGAACAAGTGCGAAATTTTCAAGGATGGATCAAAACCGTTGGAAATAAATTATAATTCCTTCAGAACTAAGTTACTCTAACTAGTATTTACGCACATTTAGGCTTCATATGGACGCAAATTCTTCACTCAATCTCTCATCTTCCCATATTGTTTAGTTTCTACACAAAGTTCTCAAACTATTATTTCTGCTTCATACTTTTAACCATTCTTGTTCAAGATTTTGAGGATATATATCTGATTTTTATCTTGGAAACCCTTCTTCTGAATTCATATTTTTCTCTTGAGCATAATCCATTGTCTGGAGTAGGTATTTTATCAGACAAAATGGGTGATGATCATGTGTTGGAAGCGATGGAAGCAATGGATTTTGACAAGCATCCATCAGGAATCGTCCCAATTATTCAGAATATTGTTTCGTCTGTCAATTTGGATTGTAAGTTGAATCTTCGAGAAATAGCACAGAAAGCGCGAAACACAGAATATAATCCTAAGCGTTTTACGGCAGTGATGATGAGGATCAAAGAACCCAAAACAACAGCATTGATTTTCGCTTCCGGGAAGATAGTTTGCACAGGGGCGAAAACCGAGCAACAATCCAAACTTGCCGCCAAGAAGTATGCCCGAATCATCCAAAAGCTCGGTTTCCCAGCAAAATTCAAGAATTTTCAAATTCAAAACATTGTGGGTTCTTGCGATGTCAAGTTCGCAATCAGACTTGAGTTGTTGAGTGTAAGTACCCATGGAGTCTTTGCAAGCTATGAACCAGAACTATTTCCAGGCCTGATATACAGAATGATGAATCCCAAGACTGTGCTTCTGGTTTTTGCATCCGGAAAGATAGTCATCGCAGGAGCAAAGGTGAAAGATGAAGTTTATGCAGCTTTTGAGAAGTTTTTCCCTGTGCTTACACAATACAGGAGAAAGTAGACATGATTTTCAATCAAGAAGCTTGGAAGAAAGTGCAAACAGGAAGGTTATTTGGAAGAATTCTTGGAAATTTTGTTTTTACTGTATTGTAATCTTTGTGTTACATGGATCCCAATTATAGCACGTTGTAATATAATAGGAATATTTGTTTTTTGGCACCTTTTTTTTTTTTTTCAATCATGTATTAGATCATTTTATAATTTTAAACAGTTGTGAAATTTATTTTACTTTTCTTCTTGATTATAGTTGAAATTGTTGGAAAATTAGTAAAATCCCAGTTAATAAAATTTTATTTTTCATAAATCTTGATCCAAGATCTTTATTAATTGTTTAGATTCACATTATAACATAATTAATCACTCGATAGGACTGAATTCTTGAATTATTTATCTGTATAAAAACTGCTTTCTATCTTGTTTTTGAATCTTAATATTCAATATATCTTCTTGATATTATTCCAAAGTATAAATTTAGTTGATGTGTGGACACATCAAGAACTTCAAGATTTTGAAATAGAACGAGAAAAAATCAAGAGAAGAAAATATCTCTTTTTTCTAGGGCAAGGATTTTATCCCCAGTTTCAATCTCCACTTCTATTTTGTCATTATTGCACATACAACTCTAAATTATAGAAAAATTACACGAGTAACATCAATTAATTCCTTACGGTTTATATCCTCTTAACTTGTCATGGATATATATTACGTTGTCGAACATCAAATAATTAAATCCGGATAAAATAATCATTTTGTCCTTTCAATCATTTTCTCACTTACTGCTCGCATTTTTCTTTAAGCATCTGATTTTCCTTCTGATTATTTTCTTACTTACTAGTATTTTTCTTTAAGGACCTGATTTTACAATATTTAACAAAACTCAATATTTTTCCCCTTATTTTTGCCTTATTTATGTAGTTTGTCCTTTTTAACATGCATGACGAAGACTATTACACTTTATTCTATGTTTCTCTCCTCTTTTACCTTTTATTTATGTTGCATATACATTCTTTTACAACTGCTTGTCTACATTGTTAAATGACATTATGTTTGCTGAATATTATAGAGAGCTTTTAACGGAAAGGTACATTTTTAATATGGCCAGAGTCTATCTTACAAGCCATACTTCGAAAATTACAGAAAATGAGGAACTTAATTTTTTTACTTTGGCAAATATTTGAAAGAGCAATGCTATTCGTAATCGCTCGTTACTGCAGTCGTCCAATGTAGTATGCACATGACAAGTGATTATTTGATGCATTAATGTGATAATTTTTTTATTCATTAATGTATCAAATAATCACCGGTCATGTGTATGACACGTAGGACTACTATAATGAGCAACTGCAAATGACATTATTTTATTTGAAAATATAAGAGTGTCGTACACAAAGCAACCGTGAATAATAAAGAATAAAAAATTTCTATTGTTTTGTCGAATAATCCATCACCATACACGATTGTTTACCCTGCTTCAAAGTTGGTAGAGAGTGAAGGATGTTCACCTCCATATATTCCAATGGAACAAAGAATATTTATTTTCGCAACAAAATAATTTGCTTGATGGAAAATCCAACTTGTATCTCGTGAAAATTCAAGACAGCTAGGTTTCTTTGTAATTATTTTCTCAGTACATTTAATATGATAAAACCTTGTGCGCTATGTGCATGGATTTTTTAAACTGAACGAATTTTAATACTTTTATTGGAGGATATACTTCATATTATGCTTGCGAAAGTTCTTAAAATTCATAAAAGTATTATAAATTTTCATAATTTTCTATTAATTTTTAACATCGTAAATATTCAAAGACTTCCTATATTATTTTTCTCGACGCTCTTTCACTTTACATTAACTTAATTAGTAACAATTGGACAGAAACTTAACTTTATTTTTTTTAACTAATAAGCTAGCCAATGTAATGAAAATCAAGAGATTAGTTTTATTTCATTTTTTACGTTATTCTCCCAACATTTCGAGCTTAAACGATTTTAATAAACAGTATTTTTTTAATCCTCACTCTAAATCAAAAATAAAGAAATTGTTATTGGGGAATTATAATATTTAAATATATTATATTACTAAGCCCCTGTTTGACAGATTTTTTTATTTTTAATGAGTTTTTGAATTGTAAATTTTTGGAGAATATGTGGTTAAAATGTTAAAAAAAAAAGTTTTAGATATACGTAAATAATATTTTATTGTGAGAATGTATAGTTGAAAATGAATATGAGAAGAAATAATTTTAAAAAAATGGTTGTCAAACAGGGGTTAAGGAGATGTCCAATGAGAGGTCAAATATAGGTCTTGTTTGACTCACATTATTTGGAAAAAATATATTTTTAAACAGTAATTCGACATCATTTCAACCATATATTATTTAATAAAATAATATTATGCGTAAATTTAAAAATTTTCCTTATTTTCTAACCACGTATTTTTCATTAACACACTATTTAAAAATATATTTTTATAAAAATAATGCGGCTCAGACAAGGGCACAGTGTAAAAACTCCTCCAACAATAAACTGAATATAGTGCAAAAGATAGAGTAATTACACCAAATATAAGAATTTTCATTTTACCCTTGTTTACACGTTATAAAAATTGTTTGTTCTATCTAGGTCCTTATTTAATATTTTAGCATTGATTGATTTTAATTTATTCATAAATATTTTAATATGATTGTATTTTTATTTAATATTTATTTTTCGATTTTAATCAATTAATAAGTAATAATTATTTCAACAATAAATTAAGATACTAATTTTGATAAATAAGTAACAAAACAGGGTGTTATTCTCGTTATATGTAATTTTCCTTGTTTGTTTAAAGTAATTTTTATAATTTGAGATATTATGTTTAAAAAAAATTCAATTTATTAATAAATAGAATATTTTATTTCATCAGATAAAATTTCTAATTTAATTATTTTTTAATAATATAACTTGTAAAATAAAATTTGGAGTAAAACCAATGGTGAACTTGCACCAAATTTAGTGTAAAATTACATCAAATTTGGTATAAAATAATTCAAAATAAGATTTTGTGTAAAATTTAGCTAGACGTTAAAAAGGTAATTGGCGACAATGTTCACAAACGTCAGGATGGCCGAGTGGTCTAAGGCGCCAGACTCAAGTTCTGGTCCTCGTGAGAGGGCGTGGGTTCAAATCCCACTTCTGACATTTTCACCGTGTTTATTAATGTTTACTTTTCTTTTTTCCTTTTTTCCCCGTCTTTGAATCGTCGTTTCAGTAGCATTGGCCAAGGAATTCAGCTACAATGGCCGCTCGTTCCCTCTTCCTCACTCTCAGTCGTACTGCCCCACCCCAAAAATCATATATATGTATATACTTCTGGGCTCTTTGTGTTTGTGTAGAAATGCACGATTCTTGTTTTCAACAAATCAAAAAAAAACTGCTGCATTTTCTTTCTTTTTAAAATTTATAATATTTCTTGATTTTTTTACTGGACATGCAAAGGGTATAAATGAATATGAATATTATGTGGTTAAGCATGATGCTTTGTAGATCAAGTAAAAGACCTTGGGGAGGTATTGAATATGTATTGGCAAGTTTAGTGTATGATTTGCCGGTTGAATTGGAATTATTCCATAGTTGTAAATCTATATTGTGGGTAGGTACTTGTTAATAGTCATAGGACCGAGACAAGAACACTTAAGTAATTCATTATTTAATAGCAAAGAAATTTGCAGTTTTAACTCACGGGAACATGTTAAGCCCTTGTTTGAGCCCCATTTTTTGGGAAAAAATGAATTTTTGAACAGTGTATTGATAGGAAATGTGTGGTTAAAAAATAAAGAAAAGTTTTAGATTTACGTGTAATATTATTTTAATGAGGAATATGTGGTTGAAATGATGTCAAACTATTGTAGAAAAATGTATTTTTTCCCAAAGAATGGGGATCAAACAAGGGCTAAGTATTTAAGCAAAGAAAAGGTTACCGTGATGAGTTCTCTTATGTTAAGAACAAACTTGGTTTCATTGGTTCTTGATGTAGTAATAGCTCTAGATCAAATAGATTGGGCAAAAGGGCTTCATATATTCACCGAGTTTATTAGGTACTAGTTTATGCTATGTGCGATACATGAGCTGTGCATGAATTATGGTTTGGTTAGCGTATGTATTGAATATGTTTGAAAATATATGAGAAGATGGAATTATTGGCAAGGAACTAACCAGCAAATAATTGAGATAGTAGTATACATATTAATGTGCTTATTGTGATTTGTAAATTCATCGTAGTTAATCATTTGTTTGGATTACAGTCAACGATAGATAAGAGCGAATAAAAATTAACTTCATTACCATCGTTAATTACAAAGTATAGCTAAGATAAATTAAATAATGACTGATTTTTGGCATAGATGATGTAGGGATTACATTCTATGTATATCAATTGTTATTACTTTTTTGTTTGGCAGCTTCTGATCAGGAAATTACACGTACTTAATAAAATAGAATTCCAAGACCAAATTTCACAAAACGAAACAGCACAAATTTCACCAAACGAAACAGCATGCTCTTGTCAAAATGTTGGTTTCACAGAAAAGATTTCGACCACTATTTATTCCAGTTTTTCTTTTGAGCAAATGAATTTGTGTTTGAACTTATATTTTCATCACAGGCCACTTTCGAACTGGAACTATCATTGGAAGATTTAAAAATGGTTTTTTTCGCTGGAGGTGACCAATTTTCTAGATAGTCTGTATTAACATTTTTCCTAGTTGTTGTAACCACGACTTGACTGTCAACCTTTGTTTGGATTTTTGGTTCAAGACTTGTATGGTCAATATTTATTTGGATTTCTTGTCCTGGACTTGCATGGTCTAAGTCTGTTATAGAGATGATATCAAATCTGTAACTTGATGAATTAGGTTCATTTTTCGATACTTTTAAGTAGAAAGCTTGTTCAGTATCTTGCATTTTTTTAAATGATTGCTTCAAAGGTTGTCTCTAAACCCTGTGTGTTAATTTTAAATTGTATTAATATTATTCGAGTAAAATATGTATTGAATGGCAAAATGTTTGAGTTAGGTTGGATTTTTTACAAATTTGGTTTCCTCCATCAGAGACTGTGAAGTTGTAAATAACAGTTTTTCAGCTGGTTCACCAATTGCGTTTGCACTGAGTGATCCTGTG